GTCCTCTAAACTAAAGTAAAATAGTTTTAAAAAAAATCTTAAAGCCAGCCCTTATCATTTATATACTAGTCAAGCTTTTTCATAAACTCACTTAAGTTTACTGCCTCTACAAGATCAGAAGACAATCCATTCCAAAGGCCAATGACTCTGTTAGAAAAATGAAACTGTCTTAACTGAAGATGACTCCTACCTTGCCAAAATTTATATTTATGTCCCCTAGTCCTACTATTCTCACTGTTAAATATGAAAAAAAAAAGATAGCATCAACACTATAAATTTCCTTTACAGTCTTATTAAACACCTCAATCAGATCCCCCTTAACTCTTCTGTTTAAAAAAAAAAACAATTTGAGAGATTTCAGCCTCTCCTTGTATGACAACGCCTCCATCCCAGGCACCATTCTAGTAACCCTTCTCTGAACCATTTTCAACAATTCAATGTCTTTCCTAATGTAAGGAGCCCAAGACTGAACACAACATTTCAAATGTGGCCTAACTAGTGATCTGTGGAATGAAATTATAACCTCTTTAGACTCGTATTCAATATTTCTGTAGATACAACCTAAAATCCTATTTGCCTTACCACGAACAACAGCACACTGCTTGGATGGCTTTAGAGACTGATTGACTATTACACCAAGATCCCTTTCCTTCATAACACAATTAAGGTTATTCCTATCCAAATCATACTTATAATTCAAATTATGATAACCTACATGCATTAACTTGCATTTAATATAATTAGAACCCATCTGCCATTTATTTGCCCAATTCACTAAATGATCTAAATCCTTTTGTAAATCAGCAGCATCCTCTTCACAGATAGTAACACCCAAGACCTTAATATCATCTGCAAATTTAAGTAATGTATTGACTATTTCTTCATCTATGTCAATGATGTAAATCAAAAAGAACAAAGGTCCCTAGACTGATCCCTGAGGTACCCCACTTGTGACATTAATCCAGTTTGACTGAACTCCATTTGTAACAACCCTCTGCTTTCTTCCATTCAGCCACTCTTCCATCCAATTTGCTAACTTATCCCACACACCTATAGAGCTTTTAGCATAACCAATCCTTACTAAATACAACATTTATATCACTCGTAATTGATTTACTATTCTTTTAAGTTCCCATGCTCTGCTATAATTAATAGCTTTGATCAGTGCCCAAGACTAAATAGTCAACATCTCAGTGCAAACTATAAGGTTTTCTTGGATATACTTTTAGTTGAGATGTAATGATTTGGTCAAAACCATGCATCTGGCCATGTTCAGTGCAAAACCATATTTTTTGCCAGTACATCTGTCAAAGAAACAATGTGCACAAAGTTTTGTCTTCTACTTAGCAGCAAGTGTCAACTGTACATGATGAAGACATTCTTGTTACTAAAGTCAGAATGAAAGAAGTGAGAAATTAACCTCGGAAATAAAAAGACCAAACAAAGAAAAAGTATATATATATATGTTTATTTTATTCAACTATATTAGAGTGGCCTCTGCTTATGGGTTTTAGGTGAATTCCAGTTTCATATTGTCTTGTACCAGTTAATGCACAATTTTTCCTTTTAATTTTTTTCAAAGAAAGTTCAAAACACTAGTTCTTTTATCATAAAATTACTTAGTGATTAATGCTTTGATAAATTTCAATTAGTCACACAGATGGCTAGAAGCACATCGTTACTATGCATAAAAGTCAAAGCTATAAACAAACTAAGAAGGAAGAAGTTACAAAATAGACTGCTCTTTTCTCCATCTGTGTGAAAACGTTTCTTTAATTTCTACTTCTGAAAGTCATATTTGTTTTATATTTAGAATTAGGACTGCATTATGTAAATCATATTTTTGATCCTTTGCTGTTACTTTATTTGTGAAAGCTTCACATTCTAAATACATCTGTGGATTTTAGATAAGTATTTCCATCGATAATATCCAAATATTTTGCATTTTTTTATAACGTAAACATGCGTTAATTTTTTAGACATTTTTATCATGAATCAAAAGTTACTATTAAGATATATAATTTGGGTTAACAAATGATTGTTAGCTATTAAAAGTCCAACTAATCATTTATTAAGTGGCATTGTTGTTATGTTCCTTTTGATTGGTCTCTAGGTATAAATTACACATTAGTTTCCTTCTACTCGTTTGTATTATCATATAGTCTTAACTAGAAAGTTATAATGAGTCCTTAAATATAGAGTTGGGTGAGATCAATTTTCATAGTCTGTTTTAAAAGTCAGTGAATCATATTGAAATAGCATAAAGTCGTAAGAAACCAAATGTGAGCTCAGTAGTGTTTTGTTTATCCTTCACGTATTAACTATAAACCATCGTCTATCCTTATTCATTAATTGGCTGAATGAAATTAATCTTATGTAGCGTATTTATCCTTTATTTTGTGTTCACAACTGCTGCATTTAATTTAAGTTCACTAATGATTATTTAAGCCTAACTGAAATATAAAAAGTAATTAGAATCAGAGTGTAATTAAGTTTTGAACTTTGTGAACTATTTCTTTAAAATATTAAATATTGAAGTTATTCCTTTGTCTTTCAGGGTTTATATTAGAGTGTAAAAAGCATTATAAAATAATTTATCATATATCAGACAACCGATCATTCTAGAACACTATTAAAATACTTAATATTTCACAGTGATGGCTGTGTCAGGGACTCGCTTTGAGTTGCCACTGATTTTGTTAGGCTAGACAAGACATTGGGTATTTTAATAGAATGTTTTGGAGAAATTGTTATTTGATATTCGATAAATGTTGAAGTCATTATGCACAGTTGTATTTTAAACTGAATACCAAAACTTGCTAAAAAAAAAAGTCCTTTCCAGTTGCATGTTGTTTTGTTATAATAGTCAATTTATAGTATTCCAACATAACATCAAGGTGATTACAGCTGGATAAAGAGTAGATTTTTAGAATAATTGTGTCTTTAAGGCATATAATATAGTGCCTAATACATTCTAACCTTTTGAAATGAGGACTAATATATAGTTGTTAGATACCCTCACATGATATGCTAACAAGTTAATTACCAAAATTTGTTTTAGTGCTGCAGTGTTTCCCAAATAAGATTATGTAGTTAAATACATCTGTTAACTTTTTTTTGTTTCACAGAACATACCTCCTCACTCTGTAAAGTATTTTCCGATAAATTTCCAGAATTGTTGGATCATATGAAAATGAAGAGTCTCAGGTGTAAGTTGTGGGTTAGGACTATAGATATGTTTTAATTTCAAATATTGTTTAAAGCTTAATTATAAATTGTAATTAATATATATATATATATATATATATATACAAGTAATAAAAAATATTCTGGAAAAAAATAAATATGATGTAGGAATGGCAATGCCAAAAAAGTACAGAAAAAAAAGGTAGGGATAAATACACAAAACCTTACAAAAATCACTACATACATAGCTAGTAAGTACTGAGTAAATCTTACAAGCTTATGGTTATTAGACCCTGTAAGACTGTGTAGCACTATTCAGTTTAAGTGCTTTTATTTAAACCTGAATTCCTGCAACTCACAAGGATTCAACATTTAGTAGTAGATAGAAGTGATACTTGTAAAGATTTGGTTACTTATGTAGTGATTTTTCTATGGTTTTGTGTATTCATCGCTACCTTGTTTCTGTACTTTTTGGCATTGCCATCCCTACATCATACTTATTTTTTTGCAGAATATTTTTTATTACTTGTTTCTCCTCGTTTTTTGTAAACAATTTTATTGATGTAAGTTGATAAGTGAACATTTATTATATTTTAATATAATATTATTTATTATAATTGAATGGTAATATATATTGTTAATATAATATCAGTTTTGTCAGTTTCTTCAGTGCACTTGTAGAATGTCCTTAGATATTGATATTATACCATATAATTGGCTACAATAGATTATTAATCATCACTGGTCTTGATTTCTTGGGATTTAATGTTGAGGAACCTACAGTAAGGAAAGAACATATGAATAATGTATAGCTGTATCATCCCTATATTCTTGTCTACATTCTTTTGACACTGAATCCCTACCATCATTTTACATTTACAAAATATTTTTTATTACATGTTTTGTGATCTTTTTTTTCCTTATTGAAAGTTAGCATATTCTATGAATGTGTGTAATAAAATTTATTATTATGTGCATTGATTTTTTTTTTTTACTCCTTCACTTCTTACATAATATAGGGGTTGGCTCCCTAAAGATGCCAATTGTATAGTGTACAAAGCATTGAGTGTTATGCATGTTACAGTCATCTAATGCTCATCTATTATTGGTTGGTAATTCCTGTTTCACCCTGTACTTAAGTTTTTAAAGGAACACCATATTTCTGTAAGAAAACTAACTTCAAGGGGTAGTGATAACATCATTTACACTAGAATTATGATTTTGGTTTTTTAGCTTATACTAAGCACTACCACACTTGGTGATAACCTGTTCCTAAGAACTATTAAAATGCTTTTCTGTCGTACTAAAGCCATTGCGAAATGAAAACTTCACTTAAGCAATTATTGGAAGTAGAAAGATTGAATATCAATATCAGAGAAATTTATAGCAATCAGAGTGATTGCTCCTAATTAATCTATTGTATGTTGTTTCACATAATTGAAGTAATTTAACTCTCAAATTACCAACTTGTTTTTATGACTGGAAGGGTTCCCATATAAAGAACTGTCTGAAAGAATTTGGTGAACTCGCTCATTTTGTCAGTAAATTACATAGGGGGACTCTGTTTTTAACTTTTCTTGTGTGACTTGCTTGATATTAAGGGTCCTGTAACCAACAAAGTCATAGATACACAAGCAATTTGATGCATAAATAATATAGAAAAATATAAAATATGTTTCAGTAACTGACTAGGTCCATATGACTCTCATCAATAAGTGTAGGGTTAAATAATCACCCTATTTTCTTATTTTTCAATCACTGTACCAATGCATCATTTAGCTCCAGATAAGCCAATTCAGTGGATCTTTCATCACACAAAAATTGTCCAAAAAACATAAAGACCTTTTTTTTTCTATTTGAATCTTTATGTTTGTGTTTTGCAACATATTTATTTCCTTGTTTTTAGAAAATTTTTCTTACAAAAACGATCTTATAATGCCAAGAAACTGAGAGAAAATTCTACAAAAAAACATTAATGCATATAGTTAAATATGCGTTTGTGTTTTATTTGTATCTCATGGGGTGGTAAAGCTTCCAAATGCTTCCGACTGTTTTACTGATGTTCAACAGATACCAGTTCTTTCTTTAAATGTTCAATTGATTTTTTTTCTTCTGAAATGGCAGTTGACAAAGGCAGGTTGCTTTCAGGTACCCTCTCTGTGTATGTTTTGTTTCACGTCTTTTCACTTTTCTTTCTGGATGTAGTTTTACCTGGACTTTCACGAATTCTGCTCTCCTGCTCTTTTAAAGTTAACTGCAATCCACACAAACTTTTATCATTTACTGGTTCATGAGCTTAATCATATTAGACAGAGAGGGTCTATCTGAAGTACTCTATTTAAATTCCATTTTCATTGTAAAATGCTAACTGTAAATATTACATAAAAGGACTGTGTTCTAATATCTTAACTTTTGCCACGTTTATTCCTACCAACTCTTAAGAGAGAAACAAAGTAGTTAAAGAGTGAAATATGGAAAAAACCTAACTCTATAGTCTGCTTGTGGAGAGTAGAGATAATGACTCTTTTAGGGAGATATATTTATAATCCATTTTAAAGTTTTTTCTTAACTTTACTGAAGTAAAATGAATATTTATATTTGACACTTTCAGAGTGGAGCAATCTAGCTGTTATAGTTTGAAGCATATATCAGTCTCACTCGTGATACTTCATGATAAAGTAAATAATACCATGATGTTTAGAAAAATGTGTTAATGTGCTGTGTTTTTCAAGTACTTCATTGAATTATGGTACACGAATTAAGTTTAATGTTTCATTTGTCCAGTTTTCATGGAGAATTGTCATGTTTACAACATTTATGTGGTGTTAATTTTTATTACCTAGTATCCAGGTTAGAAGATGTACACTGGAGAGTGGACTATATCATAGGATCAAGTGTCATACGAGAGGTTAATGAACCTTCAGTTCAAATTTGTCTAAAAGTTAAAGAACTAGATTCTGACGAGACACGAGCAGAACCATTTACATTGTCACCTGATAAGTTCAGGGTGCTTTTGCATGGTAATATTTCCAAAATTAATTATTAGTGACTAAATCCATAAAGAAGTATATATATATATATATATATATATATATTTTTTTATTCTAGATTTAACAACAAGTAAGGAATTTTTCCATATAGTATTAGATAGAAAAAAATTTTAAGTGATAAAATAAATGTCGTGTTTAGATTATAAAGAATTCTGGAAGTGCTTGTGAAATCTCATGATATCTAGTTAATTTTAACAATGGAAAAAAATCGGCACTTTTTAAAGATTAGGGATAAACACATTTGTAAAGATTGTGAGCAGTTATTTTGATAATGTTATGCCATAACTAACATGAAAAGCAATTTAAAAAGTAATTGTTAATATGTCAGGAGTAAAAGTACTTTTGATGATAAGAATGTGTTTTGGGCAACTTTTTCAGGTCAAGAAATGAATACAATGGCTTTTACAAAATGTTTTATTTGATTATCTGAAATATATTGTTGAATAACCTAAGACCTAGGATTCAGGTTTATCACACTACTAGGCTAAAATATGATTACATGTTGTCTATTCCCCAAGTTTCTTTGTCAATACTACTGGTACATTAGCATACAGATAATAAAACATTTCCACTGTTTATTTAAAAAAAATAACTACTTGAGATGAGTTATATAGAAAAACATGAGTTATTACTTTATTGCTATTTAAATCTCTCAAAATATTTTGCTTAATGTTTGTTATTACAGTATATGAACTGTTTAATTAATGTTGGGAAGCGGTAATGAAATGCACCGTTGTTGCTTTTTATGCGTTTTCACATGGAAAAAAATTCTGAAATCTTTTGCAGTTTTAATTTGCAAGTCAAAGTGTAGAACTTGAATTTCTCATAATGGTGAAAAGAGAAGATATCCAGATATCTTTTAATCAGGTTCTTATGTTGGTACTCAGATCTTTTGGCATTATTTTCAATCCAAATCAGTTTGATTAGAAACACCTTTTTTCTGTTATTAACCAAGATTAATTAACCTTTAAGTTAAAATTATTTTCATAAATCTAGATCATATATATTCATATACCTACCTTTGATTTATTATTTGCTTATGAAGAGTTTAACCCCTCTATTTGTTTTTGTGGCATGTGGTAAAGAATATGACAAAAGGTTAGCAGATGATCAGTTGGTCATTTCAAAGTTTCCTTAGCATGCTTGTTAAAATGAACAAAATTAATTTAAGACATATCTGTTTTATGAATGTCTTTGTTCACAACCCAACAAATGATTCTTAGTAAATTAGTTATATTTTTTAAATAGTTAATTTGATTCTTTTATCTGTTTTATGAATGTCTTTGTTCACAACCCAACATATGATTCTTAGTAAAATAGTTATATTTTTTAAATAGTTAATTTGATTCTTTTATCTGTTTTATGAATGTCTTTGTTCACAACCCAACAAATGATTCGTAGTAAATTAGTTATATTTTTTAAATAGTTAATTTGATTCTTTTATC